CTCAGGGCTGACTCAGAGGGCCAGCCCTAGACAGCTCATGTCTGAGGTCACACCACAGGAGAGGAGGCATTCTAGCCTCAGGAATGGAATCTGTCCGGACAGCTTCTCAGGCTCCCTCTTGTCCTGCCTGCCCTCATCTGGAGTTGCCCGTGTGAGATCATACTTACCAGGTTGTAAGGCTGGACCCCTCTCCCCTGTCCCAGCCAGCATCGAACCTCAGAGTGTTCCGAAGTCAGAGGACAGTTTGCAGGGGTCAGCCCCCTCCTTCCACTGTGTAGGCACAAGGTGGCCAAGTCTGGCGGCATGGGACCTCACCCACTGAACCAGTTTGCCAGCCTCAGATTATACTCTTGAGATTCAGTTACTTTATTCTTTTATGGTTTTTCAAGACAGGGTTTCTCTGTGTAACAGTCCTGGCTGTCCTGGAACTCACTCTGTAGACCAGAATTACCTCAGACTCACTGAGATCCACCTACTTCTCCTTCCTGAGTACTGGGATTAAAGATGTGAGCCACCACACCAGCTTGTTTTTACTTTTAATTATGTTCACACACGTGAGTTTGTGTGGGTCTGTGCGTGTACCTGTGGAGGACAAAAGAGGATGTCAGATTCCCTAGTTCCGGACAGTTGACAGCTGCCTGAAATAAAGACTGGAACCCAACTCTGGTCCTCAGTAACAGTCATCTTCATCTTTCCAGCTCCCTTGACAAATGTTAAAATCAGCTAGGCATTGTATTGAACACTTTTAATCGGGAGGCAGAGGCAGGCTGGCATCTATGAATTTGAGGCCAGCCCGGTCTACAGAGCAAGTTTCTGGACAGCCAGGGCTACACAGAGCAAGCCTGTTTCAGAAAAACCAAATCAAAACCATACCAAAACAGTAAAAAACCCACAAACAAACAAACAAAAAAAAAAGAAACAATAACTAGCAAGTTTTTGTTTTTTGTGTTGTTTTTTTTTTTTTTTTTTTTTTTTGGTTTTTTTCGAGACAGGGTTTCTCTGTATTGTTTGGGAGGCTGTCCTGGAACTCGCTCAGTAGACCAGGCTGGCCTCGAACGCACAGAGATCTGCCTGCCTCTGCCTCCTGAGTGCTGGGATTAAAGGTGTGCACCACCAACGCCTGGCAATAACTAGGAAGTTTTAATTACATTTATTCATTTATGTGCATCTGTTCACACACAAATGCCAAGGCAGGCACAGAAGTCAGAGGTCAGCCTGCAGGAGTCGTTTCTCTCCTCTGCTGGGTTGACAGGGCTGGAGGCTGGCACCCTCATCGGATGAGCTGCCTCGACAGCCTGTGCACTGCACTCTTTTAGGGTAAATATTTAGGACAGAATTCTGGTGTGGAGCATGCGCAACTTGATGGCATTGCTAATATTACTAGTTACCATTAAATTGCCATGACAAGACAAATAAAAAATGATTTTAAGTGTGTTTTGGCTCTATGTGCATGTGTGTGTGCACACCTTGCACCGGAGGAGGCCAGAAGAGGGCACTGGATCCCCTGGAACTGGAGTTCCAGAAGGTTCTGGGAACTGAACATAGGTCCTCTACAAGAGTGGCAAGTACTCGTAACTGCCCAGCCGTCTCTCTAGCATCCCCTCCCCTTTTGAGACAGTGTCTCATTGTGTCATCTTGGCTGGCCTGGAAGTATCTACACTAGAGGGATCTCACACTCACAGAGACCTTCCTGTCTCTGTCTCCTAAGTGTAGGAGAGACGGCTCGGAGACGGAAGTGCTAACCACGCAAGGGCAGGGACCGGAGCTCATCCTCAGAGCCCGGGGTGAAAGAGCCAGGGGTGGTGACTGTGCTGGTAACTCCATGCCTGAGGGGGCACAGACAGGCAGGTCCCAGGGGCCGGTTGGACAGCTAGCTTAGCCTAATTGGTGGGGAGTTCCAGGCCAATGAGACATCCTATCTTTCAAGGCTGCTTTGCCCACCTGGGATTTATGTGGACTTTGGGAGATCTAATCCTTCTGCCTGGAAGAGCTCCAACTGCTGAGCCACCTCCCCAGCCCTGGGTGCATTTCTGAACTGCAATGGCTTTGTTGTCAGGATGCTCAAAGTAGGTACCGCTTTAACAGGAAGACAGAAGTAAACCGGGTGTACACCTGAAATTTTAGCATGGGGGAGGGGTGAGGCAAGAGGATCGGAACTTGAGGCCAACCTGAGCTATGCAGCAAGACCATCTAAATAAATAAATAGACAAATAAATAAAAGGGAGAAGAACCAGGCAGGAAACAGGAATTCTGAAAGGGAATGCGAGGTGTCATTCTAACAAGAGTTTCAGGGATAATCGCTCCATCCCTTGCAGATGGATCACAGGTGCACAAAGGTCAGGACTGCATGAGTTCCTCTGGACAGAACAGTGCTCTTCCCCGCCTCAAAGGTCAGGACTGCATGGGTTCCTCTGGACGGAACAGTGCTCTTCCCCGCTCACACCCCCCGGACCTCCTCCCCGTTCACACATCACAAACATGCCTACCGCTTCCAGGTCTTTACTGGGCCTTTAAAGTTCAGCGTCTTCAATTCTAAACTTTATGAAAACTAGGAAATACCTTGAGGTCAAGCGCTGTCATCGTTATTCCTAACCTTTGGTATTCGCTGACTCACCGTTTAATGTGCAGCGCGAATGAGCAAATCCCCTTGGGGGAAGCCTCATGTCCAGTTACTTCTCTGGCCGATGTGGAATGCTCCACAGCATCCTTGGGCTTTTTTTTTTTTCAAAGCTCCTTCCTGAGGCTGACAACGTTCTGGAGGCTTTCCTCACTTCATCGGGAGCCAATGTTGAATCGCCAGAGGTCATCAGGGGAGGCCTGGTACCATGCGGTCTAAATCTTCCTGGCTCCTGTTTGTGTGGTCTGACTCCCCATCTTCACACACTCTTGATGGTGTGTGCTTGAACCCATCCTGTTGCTTCTCACCACCATGCCTCTGTGTAGCCATCAACCCATCTCCAGAGTGAGCATGCCCTCTGTAAGCTTCCCCTGACCCAGGCCCCTAGGTGAGACTGGGTGCCCACACTCGGTCTCCCAGCTCTTCTCGAGGACACTTCCAGTTGTCACAATCTACATGTGGGCTGAACCGTGTGTGGCAAACACTTGACTCAGAGGAATGCCACTGCAGGTCTCTGCTTGACCAAAAAGGGAGGAAGAGAATCACATTTCTTTTTTTTTTTTTTTTTTTTTTTTTTGATTTTCAAGGCAGGGTTTCTCTGAGGCTTTTGGAGGCTGTCCTGGAACTAGCTCTTGTAGACCAGGCTGGCCTCGAACTCACAGAGATCCGCCTGCCTATGCCTCCCGAGTGCTGGGATTAAAGGTGTGCGCCACCAATGCCCGGCTAAGAATCACATTTCTTAACTCTGTTGTTTTCTATTGGGATCCCCTGACCTCTCTGGAAGTGATGCTGGTGTTTAAAGATCTATGTTTCATGAAAATGTCCCAGATAAGGCAAGACATTGGGATGTCGGTGGACAAAAAAAAAATAAATAAATAAAAAATAAAAAAAATAAAAGCAAGCAAAACGTGAGAAGGAAAAGAAAGCAAAGCCAAGTATAGTCAGTCACTCACAAACTTACCTATTTCTAAAGCTGTAGGAATGGGGTTTAGGTCCTTCTGCTATAACCAGCACAGATGGTTTGGTTAAGTAGCTAACTTGTCAAGACTTCAGATCACACGTTGTGTCTTATACGGGCACCCTGAGGCTTAATCGGTAACCAGTACAAGGTGGACTATTATAGCGGTTTGCCTTACCCAAGCTTACACAGCCCCTCTTTCTCGGTACCAATGGATTCCATCCTCAGAAGACATAAAGAGGCGACAAGTTGAGGAGGGCTTCTAGAACAGCAGTATATTCAAGAGCTCCAGCTGCAGGTCACTGAGCCCGGCCCAAGCCTATAGTCACCTCACTCTTCAGGAGGCTGAAGCAGGAGAGGGAAGAGGGTTCTGAAAGGGAGCGGTAGGGGGTGTGGGAGATCGAGGGGTGGGGAGACAGAGAAATATTGCTGTATAGCCCCTACCGGCTTTTAGGAATGGACCCCTGGGCGCGTCTACGTGTTCGCATCGAACTCCTCTTCCCATCCCTTTGGTGCCACCGTTGTCATTGCACACTCTTTCATCCGGATGGGTATTCACCTGGGCCAGGTATCCAGCGGCCCCCTAGAGCCAGAGGCAAGAAAGTTCATTGACTGGGCGCTCGATATCTCAGTTATGGAGCAGGAGCCTGGCTCTTGCCATCTCCTCTAGACCTGTAACTGCTGGTTCAGTAGCTCCATCCTTTGCTGCGTGGCCCGGGAAAAGCGATCTCGACTTTTGCAAACGGTAGGATCTCCAGGAGTAGCAATCCAGCCAGCCCCGATCTGCACTCTGTAAACGTCAGCCCACCAGTCGGGGGGCAGGACGCCCACGAGGGCAGTGGCCCGGAGCGGTCAGGGATGCCCATTGGAACCCGGCTCGGGCTGCCAGCGGCGCCTCCCCCTCAGAACCAACAGGACGAGTCGCCCCTAGCAACAGCAGCCGGCACTCGCTCCGGCCGCGCCGATTGGCGGAACTCCAGGCGGCGGCGGCGGCGTCACTTCCGGCAGCCGGAGGCAGCGGAGGAAGCCGAGGGGCGGCCATCTTGGGTCTGTGAGGCTCCTGAGGTGCCGGGGAGCGGCGGTGGCAGCCGGCAGGGCGAGGCCGGGCGGAAAGCGAGCGGGAGAAGGGAAAGCGGCAGGGCGTGGGCGCCTCCCCCGCGGCCCCCTCCATGGTCGGCGGCCGCAGGCCGCGGCGGCCCGTCTCGCGCTTCAGCTCCGCTACATCCTCCTGCGCCGCCGCCTCTTCGGGGGCTGCCGGCCGCGCTGTGTGGAGCCCCCGGGGCTGAGCTCCGCGGCGCTGCGGCTGCGGGAGGCGAGGGGCCCGCGAGGCGCCCTGAGGCTTGCGGCGGCCCGCCGGCCCCCCTTCCACTGGGCTCCTCGCCGCGGCCGCCGGCGCTGGGGGAGAATGAGCCCCGGGGCCCGCGGGCGCACGGCCCGGGCCAGCCCGGGGATCTAGGCTCCGGCCGGGGAGGGCAGGGCCCGGAGGCTCGCGGCCGCTGCTCGCCCGCCGCCCAGAGCTGGGCGGTTTTGTTTTCGCCTTGGCGTTGTGCAGAATCAAAGCGCAGTAAGATGTCCACTAGGACCCCTTTGCCAACGGTGAATGAACGAGACACTGAAAACGTGAGTGGCCTGCGCCGCGGGGTGGCCGACCCTCAGGGTGGTAGCAGGGGGACCCGGGTCAGGGGCTCCTGGCAGGCAGGGCTCGGGGCGCTGCCCGGTCCCCGCGGCGCGTGCGGCCTGCGCGCCGTCCTGACGGTCGGCTGAGCACGAGCCCGTCGGTGCGCTGCCGCGGCCGGTGCGCGTTGGAGCCCGGCTCTGCTGTTAGCTAAGAGCCTGCCCGTCCTTGGTGGTGCAGAGAGGTGGGAGGCGGTCGGGTCAAGTGGACGGTCCTTTAGGATGGGACTAAGTTTAATGACAGCCGCTAAAACTAAGGGTCCTGCGGAGAGAGCCTTGGGGGCCCCCGTAGTTCCCGAAGAGAACTACGAGGAGCTCCGCTCGAGAGCGGCTGCCTTTATCAAGGAGCAGCTTCCCGTCCTTGCAAAGAGATCTAAGTCTGTTCGGAAGCGGTAGCTGGGAGTTTCGAGAGGCAGACGGTGGAGTGAAGCTGGGCTCTCTGTCCTGCTGCCCAGCTGAGGGACACCCACTGAGCTGGCTTTTCCTTCCGCTGCTGCAGAGCTTGGCCTAGAGAGTTGCTCCCAGGCCCATTCCAGCGTGCACACCCAGCAAATCTTTGTAAAAGAATTTTGTTCGAAAGGACCTCCAGAGACAAACCAAACAGCAGCTTGGAACAGCATTGCTAGGGAGTGACAAGCGCGTTAGACGTTCTATTGAAGAAATGTTTGACCTGCCCAAGTGTGTTGTTTTGAGCCCTTCTCCCACACTGGATTCCAAACTGCTTGCTCCGGCCTAGCTTCGTTCCCTGTAAAGCATTTAGCAAATAACTTGTAAAGAAACTTCACTGGCCTTTCATTATACAGAGCTATGAGGTAACCGCTGGCAGGAAAATGCCAACTCTTTGGAAAAGCCTCCGTGCTCCCCGGCATTCATGCTTTGTCCACCATCCTTAGACACGGTGACCTAGTGGTACCAGATGCCTTCATTTTAATCTTCAGAATGCTACTTGGTGCTTGATAGCTATTGAGTAATTTGTTTATGCAGAGCATAGTCCAAGTCATCTCTGTAATATATTAATATACAGTTGTGTATGTTCTTACACCTAATTCAGAGAGCTTAAATTAGACTTTATCCTATTCTTCCTCCCTCCATCCTCTCCCTTTCCCCTTTCCTTCTCTTTTTTTTTCCTTTCTCTGCCTCCCTTTCTTCATTCCATAGTTCTTTTTTTTTTTTTTTTTGGTTTTTCGAGACAAGGTTTCTCTGTGGCTTTGGAGGCTGTCCTGGAACTCACTCTGTAGACCAGGCTGGTCTCGAACTCACAGAGATCCGCCTGCCTCTGCCTCCCGAGTGCTGGGATTAAAGGCGTGCGCCACCAACGCCCGGCTCATTCCATAGTTCTTGCTATGTTGCTTGGACCACTCAAGGGAGCCTTCTACCTCATTCTCCTCATAGCTGAGAATCAGGCTCAGAATCCCGAGACTATTTTTACATTCTTTTGAGGAAACTTACCTTTGACCTGATTGATCCTCATCATCATCTCTGGTCACTTCAAAAATGAAGCAAGTAAATTGATTGATTGACTTTGATCATTGATTTTTTTCCCCCAAGGACAGGGTTTCTCTGTGTAGCTCTGTAGACCAGGCTGGCCTGGAACTCACAGAGATCCGTCTGCCTCTGCCTCCCGAGTGCTGGGATTAAAGGTGTGTGCCACCATTTCCTGGTACATCAACACTTTTTTTTTCTTTTTTGGTTTTTCGAGACAGAGTTTCTCAGTAGTTTTTTGGAGGCTGTCCTGGAACTCTCTTTGAAGACCAGACTGGCCTCAAACTCACAGAGATCCGCCTGCCTCTGCCTCCCGAGTGCTGGGATTAAAGGCGTGCGCCGCCGGCCATCAACACTTTCTAAGTGGACATTCTAATGAGCAGTCATATAGCCACCACCACAGTCAAAGATACAGACTTTTCCATCTCCCAGAAAGATCTCATTTCTGTCCCTGTAGTTTTACTTTACCTTTTTTTTTTTGTAAGTGGGACCATAAAATATGTAACTATTCAAAAAGTTTGGGACAGTTTCACAGTGTAGCTGAGGTTAGCCTTAACCCATCCTCCTGCTTCCGCCTCCTTAGCGCTGTGATTACTAGTGTGACTGGCTTCATCCACGAGCATAAGGCCTTGTAGACCTGCCTGCCTCTCTTTTCTTTCTCTTTTTGAGACAGGGTTGACTTAAGTATCCCTGGCTGTGCATAATGGTTTTTGTTTGGTTTGTATGCTTGCTTTTTGTTTTGTTTTTGGTTTTTCTGAGACGGGGTTTCTCTCTGTCCTGGAACTCTGCTCAGTAGACTAGACTGGCCTCGTACTCAAGAGAGTTGCTTGCTTCTACCTCAGAGTGCTAGAATTAAAGGCATGCCCCACCATTGTTTGGGCAAGTAATGCTTCTGAGCTTTGTGTTTTCAAGCATATTAATAGTTCATTTCTTTTTATTGCTAGTTAGTATTTCATCAGATGTACCATGATTTTTTAGAAAATTCTTTTATCAAGTCGTCGGTGGTGCACTCCTTTAATCTGTGAGTTCAAGAGCAGCCTGGTTTACAGAGTGAGTTTCAGGACAGCCTCCAAAGCCACAGAGAAACCCTGTCTTGAAAAACCAAAAAAAAAAAAAAAAAACTTTTATTAGATGGTGGTCATTGGTTATTTTGACTAGAACGGCTTGGGGTGTGTGTGTGTGTGTGTGTGTAAGTAAACAGACATCCTAGGCATTTTAAATTTTAAATGATTACATTCATTTGTGTTAAGAATATTATTCTAGCCTTTGTGTTGCCTGTTCACCTTTGGTCACTAGTGAATGTGGTGTCAAAAAAGGCATAAATTAGTGCTTTGAAGCCATTATTTATCTTGGAGTTCAGTATCTTGGGTGTAGGAGCTTCATAAGTAACAGAAAATCTAAAAAAAGAAAAACAAAAGTTGTTCATTAATTCAAGTGTAAGAAATTGGGCTGAGAGTGTAGCTTAGTAGAGTGCTTGCCTAGCCTTTTTTTTTTTTTTTTTTTTTTTTTTTTGTGGGTGCTTCCTTTTGAAGTGTTTTACCCGGAATTACCTATGTAGACCAAGTTGGCTTCAACCCACAGAGACCCACCTGCCTCTGCCTCTGCCTCTTTAGTGCTGACGTTAAGCTTGTGGACAGATGCATTCTAGCTTTTAAGAAACTTTGGGCCGGGCGTTGGTGGCGCACGCCTTTAATTCCAGAACTCGGGAGGCAGAGGCAGGCAGATCTCTGTGAGTTCGAGGCCAGCCTGGTCTACAGAGTGAGTTCCAGGACAGCCTCCAAAACAATACAGAGAAACCTCGAAAAACAAAACAAAGCAAAACAAAACAAAAAAAGAAACTTTGGCTTTTATCTGTAGTGTAGATATAAATAAAATAATTTGCAATAATAATTTTTTTCCTTTTTATACATTATTCTTTTCTCATGTGTTTGATTTTCACATTACTATTCGCTTTTATGGATAGGAATATAAACTTTCATCTTAGGGCAGAAAAATTACTTAAACATTTGGGGCCAGAAGATAGTATGTCCAGCCTCATAGAACTGGAATTTTAGGTGGTTGTAAATCACCCAGTGTGGGTGCTGTGAACTCAGCCTGGGTCTGCAAGACTTCTTAACTATTCAACCATCTCTCTGGCCCAAAAGTAGGATGCTTTTTAAAGATGAAAGAAAGTCTAACTGTTTTATAGTTGACTTGTATAGAGATCTGTTAGTAAATCCTGTTTTTATATTTGACAAAATTAGAAATGAAATTTTCACTTGGATTTCAAAGCATACCACATTTTCTAACCTGGATTGTTTCTAGAGGACTGACTGGAGGTAGAGGTTTGCTAGCTAACAGCTCTAGATATTCACTTGCTGTTTTATGTCTCTGTGGCAGTGGTCCTCAACCTGTGGGTCTCTACCCACTTGCCAAACTTCTGACTCTGAAGCTATTTACCATAGCAAAATTACAGTTATAAAGTTATTGTTGGGGGTCATTGCAACATGAGGAACTGTATTAAAGGGTCACAATATTAGGAAGGTTGAGAACCACTGCTGTCCTGGAATTCTTTATATAAGCCAGGCTGGCCTCACACTCACAAATAATCCTGCTTCTGTCCCCCAAATGTTCAAACTAAAGGTGTGCTCTACCACACCAGCTATATCAGGTATTTAGAAGTTAGTATAGCATGGTCACAATCATTGACTTCTGTGAAATAAACTAGTGGTGATATTGTCTCGCCAGCTGTTGATTGGGTGATACTGCATTCACCTGTGAACAAATTGGAAAGTTTACTATGTATGAAGCTGTGCTGTGGAGGGCGTACTGAACGCCTGAGAACCAGATCGCTCTTGTTTAGGACCTGCTTGTCCAGCAGAACAAAGTACCCAGGGCTTTGTGGAACTAGCCTGTACTGTCTAACCTGAGCAAACATACCTGGAGGGTTGCTATTGCTATTGCTGACGTGCTCATCTCCGGTTCTCACCTCAGACCTGGCTGCATTCCTGCCAGGTTCCAAGACAATGATTAGGCACACCCAGGGATCACACTTTAGAAATCACTGCCTTAGTGTTCAGCTTGCTAACTAGGCTTTTGATTGCCTAAGTTTTTAGAAGAGATTTTTTTTTTTGCTAAATATAATGGGTTTTTCAAATCCTATGAGTTGTTTTGTTTTGCATTTAAGACAGGGTTCTACCATGTAGCCTTGGATGGCCTGGAATAGCCTATTTAAATTGGCTGACTTCAAACTCTGCATGAGTTTTCATTATGCCACTTTAAAGCTGGGCGGTGGTGATGGTGCACTCCTTTAATCCCAGCACTCGGGAGGCAGAGGCAGAAGGATCTCTTAAATTTGAGGCCAACCTGGTCTACAGAGTGAGTTCCAGGACAGCTAGGGCTATTACGTAGAGAAACTGATCAAAAAACTTAAAAAAAAAAAAAAAAACGAAAAAGGTGTGAATCTAGACTATAGGAATAGTTAC